AAACGAAATTTTAATGAAATATTTATGTAAGTATTTTAACTAAATCTTTCGGGGCATATTTGACAGAACGTTATGGTGTACGACATATTTCTCATTACCTTTTTTATTATACCTTAATCATAAGACTTATATGCACCTTTTTCAACGCTTTGACGAAACGGTTGGAGACTGCCAGGTCGAAAGTCATACAAATTATTATTATTGAAATGATTTACAAGATATCCAAAATTTTCCCATGGTTAATCAATGTTTATAAGACTCTGTATGTAAGTTTTAAGGATTAGCGCGATTCTTATTTGAGGATAAGAATGATATCAAATATCGGTTTACAAAAAAAAATTGTGTTCATTAGTTTAACGCGCAATTTTAAAAAAATCCATCGCTTAAAAATTATACATGTCGATAGACATAAAGTTTTTTTGTCACCAGTTTGGTTTTAAAAATAATTTTGCTTTTAAATCGATACTCTAGTTTGGAGGATGTTATTCTACCTCTAAGTTACCTCTGACTTCTAAGTTTTCATGACAGTGCCATCTGCTCTTTATTCTTGCGTATTTATTCTCATACCTATTAGATATGCCCTTACATTTGAGATATGCAATCTCAAATGTTGAAAAAGCGTGTTATGATTGTATTAGTAACCCATTTGGTTTACCCCCGAAAGTTGTGCGCATCCCAAAAATAACGCAAAATCTATTCGTGATAAATTACGTACAAAAACCAGAGATCATCCGACACAAAAATGACACTGAATTTGAGAGTACGCACCAAAATAACTACATTCATTTGCCTATACTATTTATTCCCAGTAAACTTTATAGCTAAATACATATTCATACATTGTTAGCAACTTCTTTCATAATATTTGTGCGTTAAACATTTACACGTTATTATGTACATCAAAACATACGTATTCATAAAATAATATACACTATCACCAAATCTTTAACGGAACATCAAAATACACACATTATATTAAAACTACTAAAGACACTATTTGATGAATTTTGTTCAAGAGATGGCCTATGTAATCTCTACATGGGTAACAGTTATAACTACCAATTATTGCTAAGTGTTGCATAACAAAATTTTAACCTTTTAAAGACTGTAGAGAACTCTCAAATTGAGATATTTGTTTTTCAAATTAACGGTGTTCTAAATTAGCGGGAATCACGCATTTAAATAAGCTACTGTTTTTCATATAATATCCAGCATTCTCAAATCGTCAAAGTCAAATAATACGTGGTGGCGTGGCGAAAGAGATTTCCCGCGGATATCCTAATCGGTGCTCGTTGTATAGTCTATCCCCCTTATTTAAAAAAAATAAATCAGTTTCATTGTACCGTATTAACTAAACTACACTTCTGTCTCTATGCTTCAGTGTTAACACAATTTGTCAGAAAGAGACGCGAGTAAAGAACGTCTAATTAAACTGATTTAGTTCTTCTGAATAGGGGGTATATTTGCAACATATTTATCTGAGATTGACCTATATTATGCGTCAGTACAATGATAACAGCATCTTTAAATGTGTGAGACTCACTAATAAGACATACCCCAATATAGCATGATCACAAACAACATTCGAACCGAACTCCTCGCTTTTGGTCATTTACTCTACACTAATTTTATAATAGTGGACAAAAGTGAAGAATATTAAGAGTGAGAGTAGAAATATCCAAAAAGAAGGAATGTACGGTCAATGTGTAAGTTTTAACGAGTGCGTGAAATTGATCCAACTAATTATGTTCTAGTAATTCATTTTCTAATTCTAATTTTTTGATAATTTACACATAGATACATGTATCGCGATAGATTCCCACTCGAGCTGAGTTATACTGCACTCAAACTTTTCAAAATGTTTAAATTATCGAATGAATGATTTGGCTATTGGCAAACAAAATATCTTAAAGGAAATTATATAAAGTGAAACCTTCAGTTATATAGAGAAGCGGCAATGACTAGGTAGTTTCGAGATCTGGAACGTAAAGTAATCTTATCTCTAATAACTGTTTTGAATCTAATTATAAACTATTACTATAATTAATTCTCATATAATTTGCTACGGCTCGACGTATGACGTATTCATAAGTTGAATTTATTATTTAAGATAGACTGGCAGTTAACTCCATATTACTATCCTTGCTCGCTTTCACGTGATGAGTGAAGGCACTGGGCATCACGATTTAATAAACTCTTGTTAAGACGGTAAATTATTTTTGAAACAATAAATATTAAAAACTCTTTCATTGTTTGGGATAGGATTTTTGAAACGATTTTTTTTTATTGGATAAGGTAACAAGAGATTTAGAGATTCGTCTTTTTTGAGAAAAACAAAATTTTCGTTGTTCAGATGTTTTTTTGACGAAAAAGTAAAATACTAAAAATATATAACCACTGTTATTCTTAGTGGTCTGGTCGGTGAAACCAATTATCGGAAAGTGTCGATAAATATGATTTGAAAGGCCGGTAATAGTTTTATCGACATTTAGAAATATTTTACTTGTTACATTTTCCGTGATATCCGTGGGTCAAAGTTAATCGGAACTATAGATGCGAATTTTGTTACGTTAAACATAAGACAGTGTATCAGACAAAAATTTCGTCCGATATGAAATAAAAAATAAAAAAAAATCGCGAATTACAGTTTCTATGAACTTTACCCGATTGTATTTTTGTGACTATTAAAAGCAAGTAGAACCGTTTAGCTTAGGTTAGAAACGCCTAGCTATTGTCAACATTTGATTCATTAAATTTAATAACAACATCAGTTTGAAATTATTATTGGATATTTCAAGTAATTTTTATTATTAAATATTTGTAAACTGGTTTCACCGAAAGTTGACTGTTTTTGCGATATTGAACTTATTGTAGGGTAAAGTAAAGCCTAAAAAGCATTAATAGACAATTAGCACCCACGGTGGTCTTTGCTCAAAGACAGGGAGTGGAAACAACAAACCGTACTTTATTCTCACGCATTAAAAACGTAAAAAATAACTTACTTAATATTATTATCATTTATCATTTGAATACAACAACTACATTCCCATTTAAGGAATATTAACAAATGTCCATCCGATAAAGTCTTTATAATCATTGATTTTGATCACATAATCTTCAACGACGCAACTATGTAAAGAAAACTAACAAATACTGTTACTAATATAGGGCTTTATTTATTTCATCTGGCGATTTTTAAGTTAAGATAAAATCATTTTCTCATATAAATGAGCTGCTCGTCGACTTGATTCGATTCGATTTATTACTTTCATAGAACTATAGGCTCGAGAAGTGTGGAAGCCGTCAGTTGCACAATGACATAATTCAAGTTATTTTGTGTTACCTAGGTTGTGTTGAATAAAGTGTTGACGAATTTAGTAAATAAATAACTGTAGCTATCACTTACTCACGTGTTATCATTATTTTATTGCTTACGTAGAGTTGTAGTAGTTAGTAATTAAGATATTTAAAGGCATGTTTTTAAGATTCCAGTCTGTTTTGTAGAATAGAAGTTAAACAAGAACGTTTAGTGATACCTGTTTCACTAAAAACAAAGATAAAGAAGTCTCGCAAATGCATTTTCAGCCGCTAGGTTTCTTTTTCTATTCTATAAGCATTTAGATATTAAATCTATAGATTGTTAGATGACTTTCCAACATTTCGATGTCTAAGCGAAACAGCAAGACAGCTATCTCTTATGCATTGTTTTTTGGAACTGAAGAACTTGGTTTCATGTAACTTAAAAATCCCCAGACGAAACTCAAACAAACCTGTATTTTAAATATGACACCCTTTATGGTATATGTCTCTGCCATATAAGACATAATATAAATGTACATTATATATTATATACTATAAAACAAATATCATATAAAAATCATGTTCAACCATGTGTACATCTTGAATACCTTACATTCATAAGACGGATATATCATTACATATAAGTAATTTATTTTCTTTACTTCTTACAAAACAACAACTACTTTAATTAACCCTAATATTTTTCCAATGTATCAATACATATTATATAGACCAGTGTTAGGCATTCAAAGACCGATGGACATAGAAGCAATATCCTTTAATAAAGTAAATTACCTGTTCGTGATTACAATCAAATTGTCAACTATTATTGTTATTTAAATATATTTGTTGCGTAGTGATCTTTTCGTTGTGACAAAATGTTAGGTTTAAATTGATAAAGTATGTAATCTGTATCCTTGCTTCTATGCCTACGACAGCCCATCAACTTTACAAAAATAATTTTCTAAAACTCATCCAAATAACACTATTGTTAATATTATGTTCAAATAATTTATTTTGTTATTACAGCTAACTGCATTAAAATTTTGATTTCCTTTTATTAAGTGTTACATATACCATTACCTTCGACTTGCAACACAAAAGCTTATGAGTTAGGATTTCCGACTCCCGGCCTAGTATTTAAATTTTATATATAAAGTGCCGTGCGACTTCCAACTCAGCGTTTTATGCACCCTGCATAAAAGTCCTATAAAACGGGTTGGGCTGCGGCACAATTTTTGTGCATATAAGACCACCACAAACATTTGGGAAGTTAGTTCATCGTATCTATTTTCATTTTGAAGGAAAATAAATTTTATTTCGACCTTACTGATATATCGTGTAGAACCATAATCAATATGAAAATAAACAACTCTATAAATGTATTTATTAAAACCTCAACTATTAAATGTATTATAATGGCCGGAGCATCGTCAACGGCAAAAGTTTTCATGTGAAATCTTAGTAACGATATAGAACTATTGGTGTTTTTTCGTTTAGTATTGAACAATCGGACACAAACATTAACTTAGAGTCTATAAGAGCGGGGGCCCGCACCACCCGGACCGAAGGACCAGAAGGCGCGTCCCCCGCCATCGAAATCGTCATCGCACGAAATTTATTATCATAAGTACATCACTAATAAGAGTTTCGATTCGGCGGTCGCGGGCCGCGATGGTGCGACGCACGGAAACGTAAAACTATAACCTCGATTCACGCACATTCACTAGAGGTACAAATGTCCAGTGAGTCCGCACGACAGCAGCTAGGGTTGTGAGAAGGGCCAGGGCGAGAAGGGAGGGCCTCGGGCAAGTGGCGGCGGCCGGCGCCTGATATGGCACAGAGCAGGTGGCAGTTCGCTCGACTACTGGTGTGCACTGCTCTGCTGCGGGCCGCTCTGGCTCGCTAAGCCGAGACTCGCAGTGGTAGCAGAGTCGGCCTTCACAGTACCAGTAGCAACAGTCGTCAGGCCCGTAGTTGGACTTGTTCGCCTGAGCACCCGTCTCTGGTATTCGCGGATCTGAAACATGTTTATTATACAACGTGGCATGCGATTTACCGAAACGATATCAATGAAAGCCTTTTTTATTGCCTGTATATTATTTTTATTTAAAAATGTATAGTATTTGAATAGATCATACCTCTTTTGTATAACAAATAAATTCTAAAGCAACTTTTATGCTCGCAGTTAAAAGTATAATACATTTTTATAAACGCAGGCTTTAAGAAAAGAATAAAAAGGTCAATCGAGAAAGCCGAGAAGCAACAATTGGTCAAAGATACAAAGAGTGCATACAATAAGCACCATTTGTCACTACTATTCTCAATTTGAACTGCGGCCAAGAGCTAATCGAGCCTAAAGCGCCCCTTTTACTGCAATACACATGAAAATACAAAGAAAAACCTTTTACGGTCATAGGTGAGTAATGAAAAAATCCGAAATACTAGAGCCCGTTTTCATTCCCCCCCCTCGATTTTTTTAATCCCCTTTCCACCCCACGCAATTCTGGCACTTTTTATCGGCGGTCGCTCGCAATCAGCGTGAAGCAGTTATTTTAGATTTGGCATTCTGAAAAGGGAGCTTGTAGTTTATTGTTTATTAGAATGCAAATCATGAAATGACTGCTTCACGACTATTTCAGACACCCGAGAAACGAGTTCGAAAAGTGAGTTACAGAATCGCAGGGCTGTAATGCGATGGTAATCACGCTGCGCCATCGAAGCAGCACAAATCGTATACGGTATTAGAAATTCTAGTTTAATTTAAAAACTCCGAAGTGTTGAAATCCATTCATTGATTCTATATTGTAGTATTTGTGGTTGATATGATCTTTATTATTTTGACTTTGTTGTGGCTTTACAACCGTTTTGGGTCTTAGCCTCAGGTTAGGTTAGGTGTGAAGATGTGCCGCTGGCGTATCTTGATACGCTGTCCACTTTTGGGACAAGGCATTGTTTCTTTCACCTCACCTGATGGTCAGTAAAATTCATTGGCACGCCGAACTTTGCATAGATCTATTTTATAGGCAATGTTTTTTTTTATGACTCAAAAGCTTATATTGCCTAAGTCTTTATATAGATTTAGTCTATGAACACTTATTAATCCATAATTATTTATAACATTGCCATCGACGTAACAAGAATCAGCCCGCAGACTTCACTTATGATAAGTGTGTTGTTTTATGTACACAATTTTATAGATTGTTGATCATAAAGTAATACCTAGTAATAGCATCATAAGGTAAATTATGACCAAGCCACTCCCAAAGTGTTTTGTGAGTATGACTATACCATTGCCGACTCCCGACTTGAAAAAATTTAGTTTAGTTAGTATATTTTAGTATATATTCTAAGAACTTGAATTAATATATAAAACTTAGTATTTTTGTTAGATTCTACTTGCATTCAATCTTACATTAGGGGAAAGGTAGAAGGTCTCTAGTCGATTCCAACCTAAGACGTTTCCAATTACTTTATAAATCATGCCTGTCAAACTTGCAGGTAAAGAGACATTCAACTTGCATGCTTACATGTTTCCTAGCAAACGTAAAATATAAAGTTTGATATTAATTTTGAAAAATACAATATACTTATTATAATCTATAACATAAGATAGCCTATCTTAGAGATACCTTTATTGAATTTGAATAAAGAATTATTTTCGTAAATCTATTTACCGAGACATAGGAACGTGGGTTCGCCTGCATACTGCGTGGGATAGGCTGGTGCGCGGTCCGCGGGCAAAAAGTAAGGGCAGTGTTGCTCGACCAGCTGGCAGACTGACAGGCACGGCTTGAGCCGTACCAGGGGTCGACCTGGCCCCGCGGCGGCGGCGCGGACCCAGCGGCCTACCACGCCGCCGCCGCGCCGTCGGTCCAAATGACCGACCCGCTCGAGGTGTCGAGCGCGCCATCTTGCCCCATGCTCTGAAGGGGCCCGTCGTGACCGCCCACCCTCCTCATTGTCTTCAGATCCTTCTTCCACCCACAGTGGAACCATTGTACTGCACGCCCAGCGTCGGTACGTCTCCTGAAACAGGGTTATTGGTTGGGTTATTTATTGGTAATCAAAAAAAAATCATTTATTCATATAGGTAACACAATGTACACATATGAACGTCAAAAAAGAAATATACATTAAATGCTTTTAATTTTACATTTACTGCCAGTTCTCAAATCAAGGGCGTAGAACGGAAGAGAAGAACTGGCAATAAACTCTCCGCCACTCTTTTTAATCGCCACCATTACACCATGTTCCACCAGTAATAATAAAATAAATTAAAAATAAAGATTTGTTGAAGAAGCACCTCTATCAGCAGGAGGCATGGTGAAATAGGAGCACGCACTTACATTCTCGTGAACAACACGCAATTTCAAATTTAGATACATTAATCATACATATCTTATTGTATAGTTATTGAAATAAAACAATTCAATGTATGTACGCACCCGTGCACCGTTTAATAATCTTACGTAAATGCATAGAGGAACACCATGGCGCGTAGTCCCTTGCTATGTCAGTGTAAATCAAATAGGTTCCGAGTTAGTGTGTCCAACCCTTGAAGTTGCCAAGTATAACATTTTTCACAAAAACCGCTTGTGGCACTGATTAATTAGCTAGCAAGTAAAATACTCAAGCTCGAACAAAACTTTGCTCTTTTATGATAAAATCGATGAACAACACTTTGTCGTACGTGACCAAACAATGGACGATATAATGTAGGATTATCAAGCTAATGATGTTTATCCAATATTTAAAATTTTAACATTAAATCAAATTTGAAGAATTTTATATTACAGTTTACCAGCTGATAGAATCGTGATCATTACCTGTATATAATAAACAAAACTAGTTCTACATCGTTTTAATTTTTGGTCATTAAGTTTTCAATACTATATTATAATAAGACAATGTTATTAAAAAAATTCATTAGAGACAAATCAACATATATATATATTTTTTATTGATGTTGTCCAGCTCCAATGTCTATCTCTAAAAGTACAAATTATTTATTCCTGTAACTAAACATAACAATCAAATATACAGTAGGTATTTACAATTTTCTTAACCTACATAGCAATAATTAAAAATTAATAAAAAGAAAATTGGCTGGCAGCATTTCCTCATAAAAGTACAAATTATACTTTTTTATTAATATTCACTTACGTTACTATAATTGATGCCTATAAAAGTCATTTAGGTCATGTATAAAATATGATAATACCGACTCATGATTCAAACTATTAAGAGGGAAATCGCCTATTAATTGATGCAATCTCAGCATCCCTTTGTTGCTGGTAATTATGTTACTAGGCCATATCTTGGATCAAAACATTGATAACCTACGACATGAAAAGGTATAGCTTCATCGTAAGCGTGATGCCGATAATCGTTAACTCTTAATAAACTTGAATTTTTACAGCTTTTAGTTTAAAATTAAGCACAGGAATTAGGGCAAACGCCTATGGCAGTTATTGTTACAAAGTTTTTATATAAAAATAAGCAGTAGTTTAGTTGAGGATAATACAATTCTGTTTACAAGTTTTTATTTTTCAATGTTTCAAATAAAAGAGAAAATCGTATTAAGAAAGATATGATAAAAATAAATAAATCAGTGGCGCTACAATCTCTTTAGGTCTGTGCCTTAGATTTCTGAATCTGTTTCATGATAGTTTTTTTAATCCAATAGGCAAGTAGGAGATCAGCCTTCTGTGGCTGACACACGCCGTCGTCTTTTTGAGTATAAAGCAAGCCGGTTACCTCACGATGTTTTCCGTCACCGTCCGAGCGAATGTTACATGCGCACATAGAAAGAGAGTCCATTGGTGCACAGCCGGGTATCGAACCTACGACCTCAGGGATGAGAGTCGCACGCTAAAGCCACTAGGCCAACAGTGCTCATAGAAAGATATGATACAAGTGTTAATTTTGTCTTTCTTTTTATGGAACAGAAGACAACCGAGTAGGCACTTAAAGTTAAGTGTTTACCCCGACCATGGACACCTGAAACACCAGGTGGCTGGTGAGTTGCCGGTCTTTCAAGCTGGTACGGTCTTCTTTTAACGTCTCTAAACATTTCTTAAAAAGCGCTATGTTGTGGAACGAACGAAAGGTTGAATTTTGCATTTTGTCATAACGTCCCATGATGAAATTTAGCCGCAGGTTATTTATCAATATTTCTAATTATTATATAATTAACGCAGAATATTAAATTGTATTATATTCCAGGAAAAACAGGTGAAATAAATTTTTCCTTTAATATTCAAAAAACATAATAATGTGATAAGCATTTACATTAGCATTCTTCAGGTGAAGTTATTAGAAAATTAAAAGCAGAAACGCCTAGCTCGTTAATGTTGAACAGAGTGACGTCACAATTAAAATCTTAGTCTAACCGTGCAGTTCTTTACATTTGTCCTATTAACATCTGTAGAGTCTTGAAAACTTCCACGAAACATTTTTCATTGAAATACTCGCATTCAGTGTTAAATAGATTTCATTTTGTATAGAATGCATTCATAATACTAAATTAATTAGAAATTAAGTACTTGAGTTTTGCTAAAATTTAATTCTTTCTTGTTTGAATAATGGGTGAAGAGTAGGAAAGAGATGGAAGGTGAACTTCCTGCCTACTCTATCATAGGATAGAGTAGGATCTATATTGATCATTGAGAATAATTAATTGCGCGGGGGCTATCTGAAGACTGATTTAGTAATCGACCTTTCGATAAATCAGGTACAATTTTATAATCTACTAGCTGACCGGGCAAACGTCGTTTTGCCATGTATATCATTTATAATAAAAAAATAGGGGTTGATCGTAGAGGGGTGAAAGTTAGGGGTTATATGTATTGTTTAATGCTGTATCATAAAATAATAAAAACAAAAAAAAATATGTAAAAATAAAAATAAAATACTTAGGGGTGGACTACCCTTAACATTTAGGGGGATGAAAAATAGATGTTATCCGAATCTCAGTCATACCCTATATGCACACAAAATTTCATGAGAATCGGTCGAGCCGTTTCGGAGGAGTTTAACTACAAACACCGCGACACGAGAATTTTATATATTAGATTAATATACTTAATTGTTTAACACTTTACGTAAGTTTGGACAAGTAAACATTTTTACGATAATGTAAATGTTTGCCTCAAACTCGGAGGCATAGATTTTACCTATAATTTTTGAAGTACTACGTGAATATTATTCAACAATCTACATGGCCACACACATATACATATGTTTTGCTTTCGTTTCGTTCCATTTACACGGAACACAGCTCAAGTACATGTAAAAAAACATCGTTATTCTTTTATTTTGTTCTCAAACATCACACATTTGAAATGAGGACAATGAGACACTTAAAATATGTTAAAGAAAGGATATACACGTGTGAAAATGACATGAGATCTTAAGAAGGCGCAGCGCTAACCAGATCCATGCAACTTCCTCACAATCTAGTACCCTTCAATATCCGCACACAACTCTTTGTATTGAAGAGGTCGAAGTCGTACGTTACGTATACGCTCATGCTTTTTTTTTTTTTTTTCTCCGTGGGGAAATGCGTTACGCATACCCTCCTGCGGCATGGTTGACCTGGGGAAGGGTGATGTGGGACTCGCTGTTGTGTATACCCACTAAAACCCCACGGCGCCACCAGCAATCGCCCGGGGCAGGACACGGTAACAGCGTAGCCTTGTCCGCATCCAGCCACGCGATCAACCGTTAATATTACGGTCCTCTACGGCCACGAATGATGTGGAATGGACCTTGGCACAGCAAGGGCCTTTCACATCGGCCAATGCATCCTGTTTTATAGAGCTGGGGGAGGCCGGGTACAATGCTTGCAGGGATGCATCAGCATCCCTTCTACGCTCATGCTTAGTTTATTGCTATACAACTTATTGTATCAGTTGAATCCAACCATACTTTATTTTATAGTTCAAATAATAATTTAATTTTTGTTATGATTTTTTTACTTCATAATTATGTATCTTGAGTAGACAGAGAAAAAGTCTAAGCGATTGCCTTTCTTACGCGTCTGATAAAGAATCTATCTCAAAAAAATGGCCCTTTTTAGTTTCACGTTTTAATTTTCTTTTTACAGCAATGATATTGCAAATGTTCTTGAATTTATTGTAGTAGTGTATTATATATATTTCCTTGGGTCAGGAACGCATTCTTTAGGCACCGAGATACAAAAGTTATTTGGTACTTCTCACATTTTGGGTACAGTCAATGTTACTTCCAATATTGGCCTAATGCCTTTCAACCCTCAGGTCGTATTCAGTCAGTTCCAACCCTTGCTATGCACCAATGAACTTTCTATGTGCGCGAAATTATAATAAAAAAATAAGAAATCATGAAACAGATACAGAAATCTGAAGCCCAGACAGTTTAAGACGATCACGCTTAATACAATTTCTCGCATAATACGCCACTTTACGCCAGTCTCTGCAACTTGAGACATATTTTCATACATTTGTTAACGGTTAATACGATTCGTCATCCCGTTTAATACGCCCGAGCCCAAATCCGAGTCAAAATCTTTGTGTCAAACCAAAAGAGGTGATTATTTTAAATAATGTAATTATAATTACACTACGTATTTAATGTTATTTATAAATGTATAATTTAATACCTATACAATATACATACCAAAATTAGAACGTAATAGATAATAATATGTAGTACTTACGTATTATTTTCCATATCGCTTAAGACGCGTTTTTGGTGGGGTCCCTGAGAAATCGTCTTAAACGGGTTTTACTGTATATAGCATTCCTGTTTTTTTACACTGAACAAAGATAAAGCGAGCATTTTGAAGTTAAAAGTTAAAAACCGTTATAACTAAAGTACTCTCAGCTTAACCACTTGTCATAAAGAAACGAAACCTACTTTAGTTAAGTACAAACTGATTTATTTTTTAACTTGTAAAACAATTTGGAAAGTATTAAAAGTTAGAACTCTAACCGCTAAAACCGTTATCATTACTG